TATATATAACATACACACATATATAAACTTAGTATGTAAAAATTACCTAGTGATTTAAAAGTTCCCAGGGGGAATTGAAAAATTGTATATTACTGTGAGAGGTGCATGAAAAAGAAAGATTATGAAAATCCTGGACCAAAGTAACTGCCATGTCTTTCCTCTAGACACTCTTTATGGATTGCAAACAACCTCTGATTTTTTTTTTTTTTTTTTTGAGCAGAGGTTTAATAGGTGAATAGAAGAGAAAGAAAAACAGCTTTCTCTCTGGAGGAAGGGGTCTCTGAGCTGAAAAGACCCTTTTGACATTTTACTCTACGTCACTGAAGCTTCCAAATTCATGACCATAAAAATAGCAGCCATCAGATTATGATGGAAAGAACCCTGAATTGTGGATATGGATTCTGGGGTTTCAAATTGGGCTCCCATTCAGAGAAGTCACCATACACATAAACTTAAGTTTCTATTGAATCTTTGCATCTGCTTTGCTCCAACTTAATTTGTCTGCATAAATCAGACAAATTGCAACTTGGTCTTTCTTATGTGATTCTCTCACTTTTGCTTGATTCTGCGTTTATTCCTACCCCCAGCCCTTTTACCCTCCTTTCTTCCCAAAGGGAAGAACCTTAACTCCTGCAAGAAAATCAGTAGAGATACAACAAGTCATTGATAGTTTTCCTAAAGTCAACCTACCTTCTTCTTTACCCTAAGCACTTTGCAATTAGCCTTGTTGTACACAGCTGTAACTGATAATAAGATATAATGAATTTGGAGTATTTTCCCTTGGATTTACCATATTTCCTCAATTGTAATTATTAAGTGCCCTTATTATTCATAGGCTCATAGAGTCATAGAATCCTTTCTCCTTTCACTGAAGAAATTACACAATTAAACTTGCAATTAGACTACCTATCTCTGAGACACTGCCTACCAGGCCCAGAGCCTCTTTTTAAAAGGCACTTTTGTAGGAAGTCCTTTATGCATAATTAGACCTGATTCTCATTCTGTAACTGTTAAACCAGTCCTGGGTGCCTGCTAATAATGTGATAATCTGAAAAATCAACTGATACAAACATGTTATGGATCACTGGGATGGCTACCTTATAGCTGAGTGCCATCATACAATTTCGTGCTGGGTCTATACAGTAGATCCTGTGTGCCTGTGGGTTCCATGTCTACCAACCATAGATTGATTCAAACAACCACAGAGTGAAAATATTCCAAAAAGTTGGCAATAATAATAATACAAACTAAAAAATAATACAGTATAACAACTATTTACATAGCATTTTCATTGTATTAGGTAATGTAAGTACTCTAGAGGTGATTCAAAATATATGGGAGAATGTGTGTAGGTTAGTAGCAAATATCATTTTATATAAGTGACAGCATCTGAGGATTTTGGTGTCCACAGGGGTATACCAAGGGATGATTATATATTTTTTTGTTCCAAGATGATACAATATAAATTCAAGAAATATGAGACAATGGACTATTAACAGATGGTGTTAATAGATGTCAGAAATATATACTCCATAATTTTGACTCATGTCTGAAAACTGAGCTGCTTTATCGCCCCCTCCAGGAAGCCTTTTTGTGCTCTCAAGATCCCCTAATGGGCTCTTGCTTTATATTCTCATGTTACCTGTCCTTGCTATGCTATTTTGCCACTAAACAGTGGGGAGAGGTTGGGATTAGGGTTGGATTATTTTAGATCTAATCACTATCTCTATTGTCTCAAAGGCAAGCACTCCTTTTCCCCCCATATCAGCATGCCTACTATATAGCAGGCATTCAGTTTGTTGAAATGAGTCTAGCTCCTAAAAGTGTCACATTCTGGCAGCAGGTGCACTTTTAAAGAGGCAGTTTCTCAGGTGAAACTCAGAAAATGTCATAACTTTTGAACTGCTGCCTAGAAAAATCTGACACTGGTGACATTAACCTTTAGAAGCCATATTAGCATTTACTTGAAGGCCATGTTTTGCAATGAACAACAGGCTCCATCTAAGTCCAATAACTTGTGCTCTAATAGCACAGGTTTAATAAAAGTGTAAAATGGATTGAGAAATTATCAGAAACCACAAACTCCCAGATTCTAACTGTATAGCAAAAAACATATTTTCTTGTTAATCTTCCACTTCCCAGTGATCTGTGTTCACTTCATCATCCCTAGAATCCAGTCAGATTAATTACAGCACTAGTTCTTATGGTTTCCAGACAGAAGTATTCTTCATCTGTGCAAATCCTGATGTTCACTTGTGGATCCAGGTTTCATTGCATCACCTGGTGAAAGCTTATTGAAAAAGTGACATTTTTATTGAGAGATTTGCCTGTTTGAAAAAACAGACAAAATAGCAGACTTTGAATAACAAATAGTACAATCAAATTTAATCCGTGTCTATTCAGCCGTCATCTATACTCACCATTTTGCTAAGCCATGGAACCTATAAAAGAGGGACAAGACACCAAACTTCCTGTAGAGTAAATGCAGTCATTGTACTATGTAAGCTATGGCCCATTAAAGAACTTGTGCCTATTTGTTAGCTCTCTGTGCATTAAAAAAAGGTAATCTCTAGAAGAATCACATTTCTTTCCTGCTTAATTGTAATTTAGCTAACACTGGTTGATATATTTTATTCTCCAACCTGATAGCTGTATTATTCTGGTATATTACTTTCTCTTTCCTGGGTTCCTATTTTTCATAAAATTTTTGATTTTGCGTCAAAACTTATCACTCCCTTAGCTTTATCTCAGTAATGACATGCTACCAACACAGTGCCTCCGTTAAACAAATTTAGGAAATATCTTTGGTTTCTCTCTTTCCCTCATTCTCTACTCAATATTTAATATTTTGATAACTATTGGCTTTATCTTCAAATGTATCACAAATTCATTAATGTCTATCTCTTTACCTTGCTCTTACACTGGTCCAAGCCACCAATATCTCCCTTGTATGTCATTGCAGTAACTTCGTATTATTTTCCTATTTTCATTCTTGCAGTTTTATAATTCAGTCTACACAGAGCAGCCAAAGTGGTCTTGTAAATGTAAACAGACCCAATAACTCCACAGCTGGAGACTCCTGTGGCTGCTTCTCCTATTTCAAGGAAAAGCTAAACCCCTTCCTTTGATTTTTATGAGCTTCGTGATGTAGCCCTATTTCTGTCTCTAACTTTATGTCCTACCACTCTCACCTCCAATTAGGAAGCTGCACACATGGTGTGATTGCCCAATGGGTTCTTCCTGCCTAATGTGCAGATAGAGCCAATTTACTGAAACAGCAGTATTACAGTAGAGTTAGAATTTTAAAAATACAGAGCTAGCAAAGCAGAAGGATGAGAGCTTATTACTTAAATCAGCCTCCCTGAGAACTCAGAGGCTAACAGTTTTATGTATAATTTTACAGGCGTGGAGCTGGGAGTGGGGTGCTGCTGATTGGTAGGGAATGAAATCATAGTGATGTGGAAAACGATTCTCATGCACTGAGCCAGCCTCTGTGTGGAAGCCACAGGACCAGTTGAGTCATGAGTCATGGGTCTGGGTGGGGTCAGTCAGCAGAATACGGAAGTCTGAAAAATATCTCAAAAGACCTTAATTTCTATAATAGTGCTGTTATCTTAGAAGCAATTGGGAAGTTGTAAATCTTGTGATCTCCAGCACAGTAAAAGTTATGTCTACATCTTAGCAGAAATCAGGCCTCTCCCGTAATCCTAATCTTATGGATTTTCATTAGACTTACAAAGGTGGTTTCTGTCTCCAGACAAAGAGAGTGTCAATTTTAGAGAGGGACTATTACCATTCTTTCTTCAAAGTTAAACTATAAGCTGAATCCTTCCCATGGTGAGCTTGGTCTATGGCTAGGAACGAGTGAGGACAGCCAGCCTGTGAGACTAGAAGCAAGAATGGAGTCAGCCATGCTAGACTAGACTTCTCCTACTGTTATAATCTTTGCAAGGTGACTTCACTGGCTTCTTGCAGAAATTCTGAGAAGGCCAAGCCTGTTACTGCTTTGAGGGTTACATTTCTGTCCCATGGGTCAGGAACATTCGTTTTTTAGTTCTTTGTTTGGTAGGCTCTCTCTTCTTCTTCAGATTTTCAGACAAATTTTACGTACTCGGACACTTCCTGGCTATCCAATCTAAATTAGTCACCCTCTCTTCATGTGCCATTCAGTCTCCCTCCTTAACATCCTTCATAATTATCTTGTTTTATATATTGTTTATTCTCTTCCCACTTGATTGTAATTTCCATGAAAGCAGTGAATCCTATTTCTTTTATTCACCTGAATGCTTAGCTCAGGCACTTGTTCATCCAAATGGGTGCCTGACACATGGATAGCCAAAAATATTTGCTGAATGAGTGAGTGAATGAATAACAGAAAAATGGCCAAGACTTTCAGAATCTAAATATGCTGACTCGTGACCTGTAGTTTACTTTCTGACAATCTGAGCTATTTAGTACGTAAAGGGTCCCTTGGGGTCAGTTGGTTGAGTTTGAAAAATGATTGTTTGGCCGGGCACAGTGGCTCACGCCTGTAATCCCAGCACTTTGGGAGGCTGAGGCAGGCAGATCACTTGAGGTAAGGAGTTCGAGACCAGCTTGGCCAACATGGTAAAACTCTGTTTCTACTAAAAATACAAAAGTTAGTTGGGCGTAGTGATTCACACTTGTAATTCCAGCCACTTGGGAGGCTGAGGCTAGGAGAATCACTTGAACCCCAGAGGTGGAGCTTGCAGTGAGCCAAAATCGTACCACTACGCTCCAGCCTGGGTGACAGTAAGACTTTGTCTCAAAAATAAACAAGTAAATAAATACAAATTTTAAAAAGAGAAAGAAAAATGATTGATTATGGTTAAGGGTATCATTATGAGAAAAACTCAGTGGCTAATTTAATTTGGGTTCAGAGGGTATTGCCTAGCCACATAAGCAGCCATACTCTTGCCTAGTATATATCACTTTAGTAGAAAATACATTTACAGATTCTTGTATTTTTTTTTTTCTAGTGTAATTCACTGCCGACTTTTCAAAATTATGTTATGACTTCAGGGGAAAAGAGATCCACAAGAACCAGTAAGAGGAAAGCTTAAGCTGCTTGGAAATCTTTAAATAAACTTTCAATATGGGTAAGCAATGATCATTTTTAATCACCCAAATTCATAAGATTTGATCACAGGAAAGATATAGTGCCTTGGTGATAGGCAGGAAATACTAAATGCATGCTACCAATGATTGAACACTACATCTTCAATATTGCAGAAAAATGTAGTTTTGTTTTGTTTTTGACTTAAAGTTTGTCAATCTTAAATAATGAGATTCAGAAAAGATTACTGAGTATAGCATTTATTCCAGTGCAACGCTTAAGGGTAGCCATCCAGGAGACACAACCCCAGACAAATGAGATTAGTGTTTTAAAGTGGGGAAGGTAAAGTTTCACTTACATAGGCAGAAAGCGAAAGTTTAGCAGATTGCATCTTTCATATGAGACCACTGCATATGTTACTGTGATTTGATTGGTTATAGCTTGTTACATTCTGAGGAAGATTATTTTATTCCTAAGGATAGGTGGACTGTGATCTGAGAGGCTGTAATCTCTGGCACTCTTTAGTCATAATTATTTACAGGAAAAAAAGAGAAGTTGCAGCTGCATGCCATGTGACTCAGACTGCATAGCCACATCACTTCATAGCTCAGAATAATTTTATGTTCCAGCAGCTTTAAGTTTGAATTTCATAATTTCACAGACTCTAGAGATCAGTGTAATTCAACTGTAAGAAATAATAAGCAAAATCTTTCCCCCTAATTAATTAAAAGATAGTGGTGGATCTATTTCATTTTCATTGAAAATGAGGAAATGAGTTATTTTAATAAATAGCTCTTGGGGCAGAGAGAAAAAAAATTTTAACTTATATAGAAAAATAAAATGCTTTCTAGTGCAGAAGTAAGAATGACATAGAAGATTCCCTCTGAGACAAAAGAGTTTTGAAAAAGATTACAAGAAAAAATTATTGCAAAACATAGTTATTTTATTGTTAAAGAAATATGCTTTCTTTATGAAACTAGTCAAACTCTCTCTAAATCTACATGGAATTATACAGAATGCAGCAACTGAAATCCAGGCATTATGAATAACAGATCTCCAGATTTGTCTTGAATGCCAGTGGATATTTAATTGGTAAAACTCACTAATAATAGCACTAGCATTTATATAATACTTTATAGTTCATAGACATTTTCAGATACATTATCTCATTTAGTTTCAAAAGTAATTATTGGGAATATCAAAATACATGCAGCATTATTTTACTGATAGAGAGGGTTTAGGGCAGGCCCAAAGTCACTTAATATTAAACTGCAATAAGTAAAATCCTTCTTCCTGCAGCTTAACATCACTTTATTTGGGAACAAAATCTCTCATTCCATCAGAGTATCTTGGCTTAGTCTGAATAACCCAGGAGACTTAACACATCGATTTACATTTGCAGTAAGATGGAAATGAGCAATTAATGATCCTTTTCTGTGGGAAGACTTTGGGAAAGGGTGACTGAAAGGGTCAGGAGCCCACAACCCTTGAAAAGGTGGATGCCTTTAAGAAGAGGAGGTTGTGGCTGGGCCCGGTGGCTCATGCCTGTAATCCCAGCATTTTGGGAGGTGGAGGTGGGTGGATCACGATGGCAGGAGTTCGAGACCAGTCTCCTGACCAAACATAGTAAAACCTCATCTCTTTAAAAAAAAAAAAAAAAGAGAATGTTGCAGGAAGGAAGTAGGAATCCCTGAAAGGACATCTCTCCTTACTCACAGGTCTTGGGAGGCCACCCTCTCCTTAATTTAGCCTATGTTGGTGAATATCATATATGAAAGTATATTTATGTTCTTGAAATCTTTAATCTTTGTTGATTCTTTGAAATAATGAATTAAGACATAGTTTAAATTTTCTAAGTGAGTAGGAGTTAGCCAGTTAAGGAGGAGGGGGAAGCAGCGTATTCCAGGTAGAAGCAGCAGTACATGTGAAGGCAAGAGGCAAGAGATGATATGGCCCATTTTATTACTATGTTCCAGAAAAATCCACTGAAATATGAATTTGTGTTGTGTTTGCACAGCTTAGGCATATAAGAAATATATGTAAGGTTTATTGCCGATGTAGAATGAGGAAACTGAGGCAAGTATGAGAAAATGGGAAGCCAATTTATTCAGCTCCCAGGCGAGGTTCTGTGGTCCAGGAAGGGGCCAAAGAAGTCACGCCTGGCTGTTTAGGTCATGGGGTTTTATGGGAAGGGAAGGCGACTGATTGGCTATTGGAGAAACAAAGCAAAGGCAATTTTATTGGCTGTCAGGAAGTAGGAAGTGCCTGCAACTAGTTGCTACTGGTAGGCGGGCAGGACTTTGGGTAAGTGGGTCTTGATTGGCTCTTGGGGGAAAAAAAGTGAAGGCAATTCTATTGGCTATTAAGGAGCAGGAAATGCCTGGAGCTAGTGGTTATGGGTAAGCAGGCGGGACCTTAGGCCTTGATTGACTGTTGGGGAAACAAAGTGAAGGCAATCTTATTGGCTATTAAGAAGCAGGAAATGTCTGGAGCTAGTGGTCATGGGTAGGCGGGCGGGACCTTGGGTTAGCGGGCCTTCCGGGGGCATACAGAGCAAACTGTTACCAGGCAGGGTCTGATGGGGCTTCTTTAAAAAATTTTCCTGCAGGGTTTATTAACAGTGGGCTGGGGGTTGAATGCATAATTTAGTGCTGAATGTGGGCTTGGGTCTGGTATGCGGAGGCGGATGCTGGGAAGCCATCCGGCAAGGCCAGATAACGAGCTTGGGTGATGACGCAGTTATCAGGCGTGGAGAGAGATGGATGTGTCCATTTAACCCTCTGCAAGGCAGCTGGCCTTACAGTATAAGAGCTATTTTTTTCTCTCTCTCATACCCCTTTGTCTCAGTTGAGCTCTAGAGTGAATGAAAATCTGGGGTTTGTCTTATAGAGTTAAGAAAATTTGTAAAAGAACACAGTCCAGCAGAGGGGATGGGCTTTGGAACTCTAAGATCAGGAACCAGACATGTCAAAAACTGAAAGAGACTCCAGACCTTTAAGGGATGGTGATTAGAGATTCTGGAAGTAGCAAATTTGTACTCTATCTCTTCATGGCATTTCAGGGAGGTATCAGGGGCTCCAAGAAGAATGACTGGGCCCAATTACCAAAGCTGCCACCATTCAAAAGGATGTCAGTCCATGTTACCAGCACAGGGGAAGCAAATTTACCTCTACCTATCTTGGGTTTTTTGTGTGTGTTTTTTGTTGTTGTTGTTGCTTTTTGAGACAGAGTCTCTCTCTTTGTCACCCAGGCTGGAGTGCAGCGGTGCAGTCTTGGCTCACTACAACCCCCTCCTCCTAGGTTCAAGCAATTCTCCTGTCTCAGCCTCCCTGAGTAGCTGGGACTACAGGTGCACATCACCATGCCTGGCTAATTTTTTTTTTTTTTCTTAGTAGAGACTGGGTTTCAACATATTGATCAAGCTGGTCTTGTACTCCTGACCCTTGGTGATCCACCTGCCTTGGCCTACCAAAGTGCTGGGATTACAGGTGTGAGCCACCATGCCTGGCCACCCATCTTGGGTTTCTAGCTGAGACTTATTAACAAAAAAGACAGATTAAGAAGAGAAAAACAGTTTACTCTAATGCATGCAATGCATATCACACAGGAGAAACCTCAACAGAGTAACTCAAATCAGTGGCTCAAAACTCTGGCTTATGTAGCATCTTCAAACAAAGACCAACAAATTTGTCAAGAAATGACAGGACAAAGAAAAGTGGTTTTAGTCTTCCAAGGGTGGCCTGTAGGAAGGTAAAAATGTGTGAGGAAATGAATGGAGTAAGATTTGTTTGCAGCTTTCTGTGGTGTTATCTCTAGGCTGATAAGTGTCTAGTGCTCTCTCTAGTAGAGGAAAATTTATATCCTGCCTTTAGGCAAGAAAGGGGGAGGGCAGAGAGAGCTTTTCCTGCATTTGCTGCTGCTTAATCGCCTTCAGCTCAAAATAATTTTTATGTAAATTAGGCATATTTTGGGGTGACATATTCTGGTTTCCTTTACCAGCAAAGCCTCCTTCCAAAGGAAATTAAGACTTGGAAAATAAACTATGCCCTGTGTGGGCCAAAGGTAAGACCCAATGAATCTGAGAAAGATGGAGATGAGATTGCAAGGGAGATATATGTTTTGTTTTTCTTACAATTGTGCAATTGCTGTAAATACTCACATCTTCATCCATTTGTGTTGGCTATAAAAGAATATCCGAGGCTGGTACTTTATAAAGAAAAGAGGTTTATTTGACTCATGGTTCTTCAGGCTATACAGAAAGCATGGCACCAGCATCTGCTTTTGGCCACTTCTGCTTATGGTGTGTAGAGATCACCTGTCAAGAGAGGAAATGAGATAGAGAAGATGAGGTGTCAGGCTCTTTTCAACAATCAGTTATTGAGGGAACTGAGAATGAGAACTTGCTCAAGAATAGCATCAAGCAATTCATGAGACATCTGTGCCCATGATCCAGACACTTTCCATCAGGCCCTAGCTCCAACATTGGGGATCAAATTTCAATATGAGACTTTCAACAAACCTTATCTAAACTATAGCATTCTTCCCCTGGGCCCCCAAATCTTATGTCCTTCTCACATTACAATCATTCTGTCCCAATGGTTCCCACAAGTGTTAACATGTTCCAGCACCAACCCAAAAGGCCAAAATCTCTTCTGAGACTCAAAGCAAGCTGGGAGTCTATGAAATTACTTACTTACTCAAGTAAGTAACTTACTCAATTACTTACTCTCAAGATACAATAATGCAACAGACATTGGGTAAACATTCCTTTTCCAAAAGGGATAATTCAACCAAAAGAAAGGGATAACAAGCCCCTTTCAGGCAAATCTGAAACCCAGCAGGGCAGATATTAAATCTTAAAGACTCAAAACAATCACCTTTGACTTTATGTCCCAGTAGCCACTCTAGTTCAGTGGGTGGGCTTCCAAGGCCTTGAAGTTCCAAACTTTCATCTTCCTGTCTTTTTCTGAGCCCTCCAACCTTTTCCACCCTCTGCTCATTACCCAGTTCTAAAGCCACTTCCACATTTTCAGGTATGTTTAT